AAATTCGTTACTGTAAACTTCAAATCCCATGTACACCTCTCCAATAGATGATCTATCGAAGGAAGCCAAAGTCGTGCAGCACCAATTGTCGGCTGATGAATTGTATACATGTGAGGATGAAGATGTGGCGCAATTCTTGCATCTCTTTGTACATAATGAATCCCTCCTTGTGGTTTTTCTAATCTATAGTAAACCTTAACTTCAATATTCCCCCCTTTAATCCATTTCGATAAATGTTCTTCGGGTACTTTGACTTCTACTTCCCCATGATAGGCTTGTTCAGCCTCGATAGTAAAGTCTGTTCTGGTCCCATTGACTTGCACTTCAGAGATTCTGCACTGTCTACTGTTGAAGCGGACAGTTTCATTTGAAACTTCTTTATATGACGATATAGAAAGCGTTGTTGAACCCTTTATTGAGAAAGTGCACAAGTCAATTTCAATGTCCACACTTTGATGCGTGAGCCTGAAGCCGCGCGAACGAGCATATTCTTCATAGGATCTTGTTTTGGTACCTTGTGTTTTTGGCATTTGTTCGAAAGCGTTTATCTATGTTTCTTACATTTTGTTGAATTGTAGACATGTACATTTTATAGAAATAAATAGGAAATTCACGTGATTCAGCAACTCAAAAGGACCGACGTGCACCGCATTCATTTACGCGTTTTCTTTATAAAATTTATACCTCTTGTTCAGGTTTATTCTTTAAACCCAAATTTACTGTTATCTCTTCTAGACTTTTCAAAGAGTGAGTGGACTATGGGACGCCTAATACGTTTAGAGTTAGAAAACTTTAAATCATATAAGGGACATCAAACCATTGGTCCCTTTCTTAATTTCACCTCGGTAATTGGACCAAATGGATCAGGTTAGTTTGAAATTTTAGCTTAATTTTATATGTCGTTTCAGGATAGCCTGTTGGTACTGGTCATTTTGATTGCTCCCCGGAATACCTTGCCAATTGCTCTTACTAAACGTGTTCCAGTATAAATAAAGCGTTAATAATAAAAAAAACATATTATTGAATTTTCGTTTAGTTCTTCATATCAATTTTCATCCTTTTTACAACAGGCAAATCGAACCTAATGGATGCAATCTCCTTTGTATTGGGTGTAAAGTCTGCACAACTACGCTCATCACAGTTACGGGATTTAATATACCGTGGTCGCGCTATGCATGATGAGGAAGATGATGAATTCGATATCGAATCAACTGAAGGACGTGCCAATAATCCTAGGAGAGCGTGGGTTATGGCCGTATATCAGGATGATGACGGAAACGAGATCAAATTCACTCGAAGGTATATGTCAATTTGATAATAGTTGGTCGATTGAATTACAGGGATTTAACACATATGATGTGCACTACTCCATCGATATATAATATTTTAGCATAACCACATTCGGAACGAGTGAGTATAAAATAAATAATAAAGTGGTCACATATGCAAAATATAACGATACCCTTGAAAAACAAAATATTTTGGTCAAGGCTAGAAATTTTCTTGTTTTTCAGGTAAGATCTGTATCTTATATTAATACACACAATACAAAATATTGATTCATTTCCGATTCCTTTCTGAAGGGTGATGTTGAAGCTATTGCGTCACAGTCTCCTAAGGATTTGACAAAATTAATTGAACAAATTAGCGGGTAATATCTTGTAATAATGAAAGCTAAATCCATTTCTTGAAAGTTCTCTGATTATTTCTTCTTGTTAGTTCTTTGGAATTGAAAGTTGAATATGAACAATTGAAAATCCAACAAGAAAGGGCCACTGAAAATTCTACATTCAATTTTAATAAGAAACGTGGAATTAATGCAGAAATCAAACAGTACACGGAACAAAAGCAGGAAGCTGAACGTTTTGAAAGATTATTGGCCGAAAAAGTAAACAGGCAGTGAACGCTTTTATCTAATCTGAATTTTCGAACTATATAATCATTTTATAATAATAGTCTTATAATTATCATAATTTTATTAGGCGAAAATTGAAGTCAATTTTCTTCTTTGGAAATTGTATCACATTCAAAAAAAGATCGATTATTACAAAAAGCAGATTGAAAAACTTAATGATCAGGTCGAAGAAAAGCAACAAGAGCAGGTATCGCTAGGAATCCACACCAACATTTATAACGTATTAGTGCGCACGTGATTTTCATTTAAATCAAACTTCTATTTTTCATGATTTATTTTCTAGCAAGATTTAAATGAGGAATTGAGAAGAGCACGCCAAGGAAAAAGTGAATTTGATAAACAACGAAACAATTTAGAAAGAAAAATAAGAGGAAAAGAGGCAGAGATTGAAGACAAAGTATTTTTTTATATTTTCTATTGAATCAATAAATAAATGAAATTCATTATTAATCTTAAAAATACAATCGCAGCGTCCAACCTTGTTGACTCTAGAAGAAAAGATATCACATTTTAGCAAGAAATTGATTCAATATGAGCAAAATGCAGAAAAGGTCCGAAAGGAACATGAAAAACAGGTGAGCTTGCATTTTAAATAGTATTGAAACATAATTAGATCCTATTTCATTATTTCTCTTTAATTTTTATAGTTTATAGCTGTCGAGAGATTACACAATGAACTTGAAAATGTAAACAGGGCTGCGGCTAAATTTGAAGGTAGATTTTAAGTTTGAATTTTGTGGCAAGTAAATTTGCAAATCTTTTATTTATGAATTTCTTCGAATAAAAGAGGAAATTAGTCAAGGAGGCAGTAAAAGAAATACATCTTTAAATTCCAATGAACTTGCGGAATATAATAAAAAGTAAGTTCTATTTTAGCGTTATTAGTAAATAGTTTTAGAAATTTTTTCTCAATCTTTCATATTGACAGGAAAGAAGAAGTAAATAAAAGGACTGTGACTCAAAAGCAAGAGCTTGAAAATTTATATCGTAAAGAGAAAACTGATAATGAATCTGCGCGACGATTAAAAGAAAGGTTGGACGAATTAAACCGGCGTCGTCAGCAGCTTATAGAAGACAAAGATGCATTATCAAGTCATGAAGAAAAAGTAACAGATCAAAATTTTTTATGAGTATTTTAAATTGCAGCTAATGGATTTATCGTCTCTTTTAAGGTTTCAGATTATGTAGCACAACTCTTGGCAGATATCGACACAAAAAAGAGAGATCTTAATGCACTTGTTGTTGAAAGAAGTAAAATTAGGTCGGTAATCTAAAGCTTGAGAGATTCTCTCCCTTTTGCCCTTGTTAAAATTTGCTAGTTTTTTTTTGATAAAGTCGCGAAGAAAATGATTTAAATCATAAACTTCAAGAAATCCTTAACCAACTAATGGACGCCCGGGTGGATCAGAGAGAATTGGAGCACGACTTTGGCTTCCTTCGATAGATCATCTATTGGAGAGGTGTACATGGGATTTGAAGTTTACAGTAACGAATTT